CTGGCGGCTCTGCGGGAGCAGCCCCGCGCCGCGGCACCGGCCGCTGCGGCCCGGCAGCCGTCGGCATTTGTAAGTACTCTTCCTGCTCGCGGGACTCCTGAGGGGCTGCTGAGTTATTTGTCAGCCTTCCTGCATTGAAGATTGAGAAAATACCCCAAATGAAGAATTGCACAGCTTGGAAGACCCACGAACTCCATCTTGTTTGTCATAAAAGCGTGATTGTGAGTAAACTCTGAGGAAGGCACGTGAGCACATGTAGCTTGGGAGAAGGTCTTATGAGTAGTTTTATGTTAAACCACAGAAAAACATGTAGATGTGAGAGTCTGAGTCTTAAGTAGAAGTGTCGCTTCATAGTTCCAAGCTAGAAGACTCGGATTTAGGAGCTGATAGTGAAGCTCATACTTCCCTCTGATCGAGGGTATAGGAATGCTTAAAAGCTTAAAGCTGTTAATGGAAATCATGGAAGCTGGTAAACTCTTTCTTCACTGCTAGACGAGACTGCCTAAAACCGGTCCTCATATATCAATAGAGAAGGTCAAAGTAGAAGAGACATATTTGCTGTCTGTTATTTTTATCTTTGGAAATTGCACTGCTTTCCGGCAAAGACTTCTTGGATCTTTTCTGTCTTTGTTATCTTTATCCATGGCTATGTTATGTTAGGTCTAGTTGATGTTTCATAATGTCGTTGGAGGGATGACATCAAGAAGGGCAGGACATATGAACTGTGCACTCAAAAAATAGGCTGTTGAGCTCCACCTCCTTTTAAAGGTTGGTCATCTGTTTCCCAGGTATGACTTTAAAGTTTTTTTTCAGAACTTGGTTTCTGACTGAGTATTGAGAGGCATCACATGTTATTCTGTGAGCCACTAGAGTTTCCAGATTTTTCTGTGAGATTTCGATGGCTAAGTAGTGTAAGATGGCATAAGCTGATAAAATATGTTACTTTGATGAGAAGAGTGCTTTTCATCCTGCTGTAGCCTTTCTCATTTATCTGCTGTTGGGTACTAGAATGAGTACAGTCAAAATAATGGAGAAGCCAGAGGTTTATTTTGCCAGGATAGAGTGTTGAGGTTTCTCAGTGAAGGACACAGCAGGTGTGATATTTGAGTAAGGCGTTCCTTTTCTGTTTGGCAGCGGCAGGCTTTTTAATCAGTTCAGACTAAAGCACAATTTTTATTTTTATATTATTAGTATTTTCTCAGAGAAGTAGATTAAGTTTTTTTGGTCTCACTATTTTCTACGTAAATGGAGGTGACTACTTTGTCATTATAGAACTCATTACAGTGTGTTAATTACCACGTGGGGTTTGTTGAATTCCTCTGTGTGTAAACAAAATACTTGAGGTTTTAATTTGAGTGCCTTTGTGCTCATTTAGGAAAACCCTTAAAACGCTGATCCTGTAAAAGGGAACCATTCTCATTCTGAAATACTGTCTGCAAGGGGAATATTGTGCTCATATACAAGTACTATTGTGGCTTTAATAATGTGATTAATTTTAATTGTGAGACTATTGTCTGGCTCTGTCGTGTGCTCTCTGATAGCTTGGCACGTTCACCTTATTTGTGACCAACCCATTGTGTTGCTGTGATGAGCATAAGCCTTGTATGTCTTGTGTGCATTCAGCTGAACTGTGAAGAGGGTTACTTCTCAGGCTTTCAAGGTACAGTGATTAAAATGCTTTTCAGAGAACTCTGACCCCCCCACCTCCCTGCCAAGAGACCCCTTTCTGGTGTTGATCACCAGAATTGAAATGCCTAGATCTAGTTTTATCTGGATAGTAAATTCATGTCATGGCTCCATTGATTTCAGTCGCAGCTCTGTCCAGCTGGGTAAGACAGAGTTGGGGCTGTTCAGCCTGCAGAAGAGAAGGGTCTGGGGAAACCTTATTGCAGCCTTTCAGTACTTGCATGGGGACTGTAAGAAAGATGGGGACAGATACTTAGTAGAGACTGTTCTAGTACGACAAGAAGTAATGGTTTAAACTAAATTTGAGGAAGACATTTTTTATGATGAGAGTAGTGAAACACTGGCACGGGTTGCCCAGAGAGGTAGTGGATGCTCCATCTCTAGAAATATTCAAAGGCAAGTTGCACAGGGCTTTGAGCCGCCTGATCTACTTGGAAGATGTCCTTGCAATAAGCAGGGAGGGTTGGACTAGATGTCCTTTAAAGATCCCTTCCAACTGAAACTATTCTATGATTTTTTCTTGTTGGATTGCAAGTGAATTTTCTGATGGATGCCCAGAAATTGAAGAGCTCTTTGGTTGTGGTTTTTAAAAAAATTAAATCTTAATTAATCTTGATGACATGTTCCTTGTCACTGAATCTTTGTTGAAAAGCAAAGGTAAAATCCAGTTTCCTTGAACAGAAGTTCTTTGCCTAGACCATAAGGCCTTTTATTCAACATCTTTTCACCTCTGCATCAAACAAGGTAGGGTTTCTCTTGCCTTTTCTTACACTACTCTGATTGACCTTTATAGCAGATCCTTCTCATTTGCTGGCTGAGGTCAGGACTTCAGGAAAAAAGAACAGTTGTATTCAAGAGATTAATCATAATGTGTATGCATAAACTGACATTAAATTTTGCATTTTCTAATGTGCTGCCTTAATATTGTTTTAACACTTTTTTTGTGTGTATAGTTTCTGCAAGATTTTTTTGTTTGAAGAAAGATAATATTATATAGATAATATCATCCTGACATACTAAGGTTGAAATCACAGCCTGTGCTGATTTACAAGATTAGGCTGGTGGTTAACATGGTTCTCTAGGGGTTATCCTAGAAAGGACAAAATTAGTCTTGTGCCTTTTTATATGTGTCTGGAGAAGCAATTTGCTAATTTTGGACTCCATTTCAGCTTCCGGAGGTAGTTAGTTCTGGTGTCCAGTCTTCCACCTTGTCCTTTTCAGTCTGAATGCTTGTGTTTTGTTTGTTCTGTGGATGGCAATTTTATTAGTATTAGATGATCTCTAATTTAGTCTTGAAACTGTTCTTACACTTCTTTCTCCTCCCCTGGTTCATCTGAACACTATTTTCTACCAGTAGGAGCTT